CTGAAAAATGTTATAGCACGAAAACAAAGTGGAACCTATGGAGCAAAGTGCCATCATGAATTTCTTGTGACCGAGCAAAATCTCTACCCTACATAAAGCACTGGGCTGGAGCTGCTCTGTTGTAGTTCCTGTAAAAAAATTGGGTCTCCAGATAGAGGGAGACAAAATTCCTCCTATGATTTGTCTAAGGAACATATAAATTCCTAGATTTCCTTTGGTCACCAAGAAAGATGTGGGGTTCACTTAGAGAAGGGACAAAGAGAAAAAGATGGCACATCAATACCATGTGCCAGGCAATGTGTTAGATGCATGTTATGCTATGAGCCCCTTATGTATTCTGGAAGTGGTTTCTTCATTGGACTTCCCCTTCTGTAGATTTTTGTCTTAACGCCGTTGTTTCTATTGCTGGATATGTAGACGTAGTCCTGTTTGACTTCTTTCTTTCTTTCTTTCTTTCTTTCTTTCTTTCTTTCTTTCTTTCTTTCTTTCTTTTTCTTTTGTACATTGAGGGTCCTGATGTCTGTATGTCTGTCATCTATCTATCTATCTATCTATCTATCTATCTATCTATCTACCTACCTACCTACCATCTGTTACCCTATGTTACATGCATTTCCTCTTTAATCCCCACCACAGACTGAGAGAAATGTGGTGCAAGGGACAAGGAAGAGTTAGTATCTTTATTATCTCACAACCAAGAATTTAGCAGGAGACAGAGATTGGCTGAAACCCCAATAGAATGAAAAGGTGGACATACAGATGTTAGGATGCAAGTGTGTGAAAGATGAAGCAGCTAATTCTGCCCTAAGGAGAAAATAAAGCAATCTTCTTTTAAATTGGAAAAGCATAACTTCGGGTCTGTAGTTTTAAAAAAGAAATCAATTTTACAGCTACAAAGAGGGGAAAAAATGTGGACTTTCCAGAAAAAAATTAATGAATTGGGCAAACACAGAGTGGTTTCTTTAGTCCATTCTTTCATCTGCTGTGCACAGTATGGCAAGGTCGGAACTAGCTTTCAGAGTGATTGAAAAACAAAGGTTGAAATCAAGCTTAAGAAACAGCAAAAAGACTACAGAGAGCAGGGCCTGATGGGAGATAGGAAAGGGGCCAGGGGCAGATATGTTACACCATGGGTCGATCACTGTGAAGGGACAAAGCCTTTAAATTAATCTGTGGTCTGTATCCAAAAGTCACACAGAAGAAAGGGCACCCAAGTTAAAGAGAGGGTCATTTATTTCATGGAATTTTCATAGAGAAGGCTTTTCCTCCAGAGCTTCCTTCAGTTTAGATCTGGCTTCTGAGGCCTACAATCTTCTTTTGTGGTAACTCTCAATAAGATTCTTTCTCACAGATATCACCACTATTTCCAAGATCAACAAGCTTTCATATTTTATTCCCATGTCTGTCTGTCTTTCTGTCTGTCTTTCTGTCTGTCTGTCTGTCTGTCTCTCTCTCTCTCTCTCTCTCTCTCTCTCTCTCTCTGTCTCCCTCTCTCTCTGTCTGTCTATATGTATCATCTATCTATCTATGTATGCATCTATCTATCTATCATCTATGTTTCTATCTGTATAAAAAAGTCTGTATTTCTGTAGGTGACATCCCTACCAGTCATCAAGTCACGTGGCTACCCTCCATCTCACTCAGTGCTATTGATTTCCCCCATACTGGAGGCTAGCATATGTATATATCACCTTTTCTTTTTGGCTCTGCATTTGAAGGGCTCAGACATGCATGGATTTGAAATCAACCATCCGTCTACTTTCCTTGGAAAGGCCCTGCACTGTGTGGAATAGTTGGAGACTTGCTTTCTCCAATGCGTGAGTTTGAGTACTGCACAAACAGGACCACAAATCCATTCATTTAATGATTACCTATTTCTGGGGGACAAATGAGGCCACCCATTCTGGTGGTTGAGAGAGATTTAGTTATACATTAGACAGATTTAGTTATAAATTAGCCAACGCAGATGATACTTCAAATCTTATAGTTCAATGGACAAAGGCACTGGAAAAACCCAAACTATACCCAAGTACTTGATTTAGAGTTAAGATAGGAGATTTTCAGGAGAATCTCATAATTCATTGACAGTTGGGTGATAATTTGTGAGTGGGTGATGACTTTAGAGGAATCAATAATAATTTTGGCTGAGGAAGTAACACTTTTATTGAAGCTTAAAATGCACAGGGGACAAAGACAGAAAAGTGAACAGAAAGACAAACAGAAAGGCAGGGGGTTTCTACACAGGTGCAAATGTCTTGTGGCAGAAAGAAGGTTGGACATTTTGAAGAACTGGAAGAAAGCCTCTATAGTTGAGTGATGGCAAAGGAAGGTAGACAAGGACAAGTCAGAGAAGTGGGTGAAGACTGTGATGTAAGGCCTTCTGCGTCAGATTGGACCAATCATATTAGCAATCAAAAATGTCAAAAGATTGTCAGTAAGACAATCATGGACAAGCATTTACATTTCTCAAAGATTGTTCCAGTGATTTTGAGATTGTCTTGATGGGAGGCACAGTGGTGGGAGGAGACTTGTTAACGAGGGTGTTTTAGTTGTACCAATGTAAAGTGTTATCTTTCTACTTCTGAAGAGGAAACAGCAGGGAGTTGGGGGATTCAGGCATAACTGAAAGTGCTATGATTCTGGAAAAGAAGGAGTAATGGAGAGATAGATGTTCTTTAATGATGCATGCAAGCAAGGATCATCTAGTTAAGCAGTGATTATAAAATGAGAAAAGAAACTTAGAGGCAAGCATGAAGTTTAGTTTGAACATTACTGAGAAGCTTATGAAAAACCCAGCTTAGCAAAGCATCCTGGGATATGTAGTTTTGTTATTCAGAAGGTAGATAAGAAAAGAAGGATGAACTCTGGCTGGTGGTAGAAATTAACAGCACTATCTCCCAGGAGTAGGCTGAAGAGTGATCTCAACAGGCAGGAAGATCAATGGAATAGAATGGAAGACCCAGAAATGAACCCACACACCTATTTGTCACTTGATCTTTGACAAAGGAGCTAAAGCTGTCCAGTGGAAAAAGGACAGCATTTTTAACAATGGTGCTGGTTCGACTGGAGGACAACATGTAGAAGAATGACCCATTCTTATCTCCTTGTACAAAGCTCAAGTCCAAGTGGATAAAGGACCTCCACATAAAACCAGATACACTGAAACTAATAGAAGAGAAGGTGGGGAAGAACCTTGAATACTTGGGCACAGGGGAAAAGTTCCTGAACAGAACACCAATGGCTTATGCTCTAAGATCAAGAATTGACAAATGGGACCTCATAAAACTGCAAAGTTTCTGTAAGGCAAAGGACAATGTCAATAGGACAAAACGGCAGCCAACAGATTGGGAAAAGATCTTTACCAATCTCACATCTGACAGAGGACACATCCAATGTATACAAAGAACTCAAAAAATTAGACTCCAGACAACCAAATAACCCTATTAAAAATGAGGCATAGAGCTAAACAAAGAATTCTCAACTGAGGAAATTCTAATGGCCAAGAAGCACCTAAAGAAATGTTCAGCATCCTTAGTCATCAGGGAAATGCAAATCAAAACAACCCAGAGATTCCACCTCACACCAGTCAGAATGGCTAAGATCAAAAACTCAGGTGATAGTAGATGCTGGCAAGGATGTGGAGAAGAAGGAACACTCCTTCATTGTTGGTGGGGTTGCAAGCTGGTGCAACCACTCTGGAAATCAGTCTGGTGGTTCCTCAGAAAATTGGACATAGCATTACCTGAGGACACAGCTATACCATTCTGATATCCAGAAGATGCTCCAAAATATAACAAGGACATATGCTCCACTATGTTCATAGCAGCCTTATTTATAATAGCCAGAAGCTGGAAAGAACCCAGATGTCCTTTGACAGAGGAACGAATTAAAAAAAAAATGTGGTACATTTACACAATGGAAAATGACTCAGCTATTAAAAACAATGAATTCAAGAAATTCTTAAGTAAATGGATGGAACTAGAAAATATCATACTGAGTGAGGTAACCCAATCACAAAACAACAGACATGGTACTCACTCATTGATAATTGGATATTAGCCCAGAAGCTTGAAATACCCAAGATTCAACTCACAGACCACATGAAGCTCAAGAAGAAGGAAGATCAAGTGGGGGTGCTTCAGTCCTTCTTAGAAGGAGTAACAAAATACTCAAGGGAGCAATAGGGAGACAAAGTGTGGGACAGAAACTAAAGGAGGGGTCATCTGGAGACCATTCTACATGGGTATCCATCCCATGTGCAGTCACCAAAGGTAGACACTAATGTGGGTGTCAGGAAGTGCATGTTGACAGGAGCCTGATATAGCTATCTTCTTAGAGGTCTGCCAGAGTCTGATATATTCAGAGGAGGATGCTCACAGCTAACCACAGAATGATCAAGGGGTTCCCAATGGAGAAGTTAGAAAGAAGACTGAAGGAGCTGAAAGGGTTTGTGGCCCCATGAAGGGAGCAACAATACCAACCAACCAGATCTCCCAGGGTCTAAACCACCAGCCTAGGATCACATAGGGAGGGACCCACGGCTCCAGCTGCATATGTAGGGGAGGATGGCCTTGTCAGGCATAGGTGGGAGAGAAGATCTTTGGTCCCATGAAGGCTTGACACCGATGGGGGAATTCGAGGGTGGTGAGGTGGGAGTAGGGTGTAGGTGTTGGGGGGTACATCCTCATAGAAGCAGAAGGAGGAGAGATAAGATAGGGCATTACTGGGTGAGGGAATATCTGAAATGTAAATAAAATATCCAATAAAAGATTAAAAAAAAAGGAACAGAAACTTCAGAGCCTGAGGAAGTGCTGGTTTTCAAAACCAGAGAAGAGGGAACTGAGAAATGATGATGAGCAGCATAGGAGAGAACCAGGGAGTTTTCTGTACTTAAGCATGAACTCAGTAGTGGACACACCCAGGGAAGCGACAAGCTAAGCGTTTGCTGGATTTAACAGCAGTCAGCATTTTGAAAAGCGTGCTTCAGGGAAGTTGGGGAGGAAACAGGAAGGTAAGGTTAACATACACTGAAGGGGGAGAGGTACAGTGAAGGGAGAAAATATGGCCTCAATGTCGCAAAAACACAGATGAAAGGAGAAGCTGTCTCCATCTGTTATGTGAGGCCAGCATTAACCTGATAACAAAACTAGATCTTGAATTAATATAGAAGTTCTCAATAAAATGCAAACAAATTGAACTCAGCAAACATATATAAAGATCATATACCATGACCAATGTATGCTAAATATATAAAATTCAAAGTAATAATATTATCAATAAAGAGGTACTTTATCTCATGATCCTTAATATATGAAAGGAAAGAACTTATAAAAAAATCTCTGATATCCTTCTATGATGAAAACATAAAACTAGGAATTGAACTCCCTCAATATGAAGATGTTATCTACAAAGAAATAACAACAACAACAAAAAATCAAAACAACAACCAAAAAAAAAAAAAACAACAACAAAAAACCCAAAAACCCAAACCTGAAAAACTAGACTGCCTAAGGTCCTCGCTTAACATTTTTGTTCAACATTGTAGTAGAAGTGCTATCAAAGTGATTAGATCCTGACACTTTGAAGCCACCAATATTGGAAAGGAGGTTCCTTATGCAGCCATTCATTTCCCATCTCTGTGATTGACCAAACGCCTCTATGACTAATAGGTAAATTGTTTTCAAATTCACTAAAAAGACGACTAGTGTCCACCAAACCTGGTTAGTCTGAAATTTGCTGTGTGGAAGGGGCTGGGCTGGCATTAATTTACAGAGATCTCCCTGCCTGTGCCTTCTGAATGCTGGGAGTAAAAGCACATACCACCATACCCAATTATATTTTATAGTTTTGATGCTCCACTTTAAAATGTTTTTAGAATTATATCTCATGGCTGGGATTGTTGTCACGAATACTTTTCATCTCGGTGCTTTTGTGTTCAAGCTGTGAGGCCTTGTCACATGCTGAGGAGAGGGTTTGTCACATGCTGATGAGAGAGCTTGCCTCCTGCTGCAGTCAGAAACCGGAGTTTCTTTCTAAGGAGCTGGTCACTTTTACTCCTGTTCTCCTTTCATCCTAATGAATTTCCTTTATGATTTCTTGTAATGTCTATCCGAGGGTTATGAACCTACTCAGGTTTCTTGTGTCTGGGAAAGTATTTTTCCTCTCTATAACATGTAGCTTGAGATTTATTTTCATTTACTTTATCAATATCTTGTAAATGTGACAAGAGAAAAGATGTGCGAGTTTACATTAGGCTTACTAAAAGAAAAATTTGCGTGACAAAAATCTGAAGAGGATCCATCTGTTTACAAGTAAATCATCACAGTCCAGTTACTTTGCAACTTTCGAGACCATGCTCACAGGCTTTGGCATAGTTCACTGGTAGAGTGGCTAGCTATTTAGTCCTAGATTTTATCTTCAGCAACACACATACACACATGTACACACACACATGCATCCACACACACCCATGCACCCACACACACACACACACACATGCGCACACACAGATTTGCATACACAGACACATATTCACACTCACGGACACACACATATGCATTCCCATGCATGCACACATGTGTACAAATGCACCCACACATGTACAACACATATACATAAATATTTGTATATATATACACACAGGCAACAACAAAGGAAAATAACAAAAATCATCTTGATAATTAGAATTCCGTATGAATTTTTCATTAAAATTTAGAAGACATTTTTATATTTAAATATAAATGTAAATATAAAACAAAAGCATATCTTACATACCTTTATACTTAAAATTTACCCATGGTTGGCCAATGTGGCACATGTCTGTAATTCCATCACTTGGAGACAGAGACAGGTGAATCTAAGAGTTTAAGACCAGCCTAGCCTACACCATAAGTTACAGGCTAACCAGAGCAACATTACATGCATGTGTATTTTAAAGCTTTCTTTTAAATTCAAGAGTCATATGCTGAATATATTTTAAAAGTTACTTACATTTAATTTTATAATTTCTTGTAAAAATCACTCAGAAGTCTTAATTTTCAATTATTACTTTAATTTTGATGAGTTTATTTTATATCTTATTATTTACATTTTTTTAGTATTTATATTGGAACTACACATTTTAAAGTCATATCTGTATTTCATCTTGATATTAAGTAGTACTGACTACTATTTTTCATCTTTATATAATTTTAAAAATAGACATTTAAAAGAGTTCTAATAACCTGTAAGTAAATTATGATTGATGTGAGGTTTATTTGAATAATTTTGAAACATATATAGTAAGTAAGACAGTAGGATAAAACTTTAAAGACTTTGATCATTCTTAAACTTTGAGATTTAACAATAAACAAAGAACCATAGTCACTCTTTTGACTCTTTTAACTTTATAACCAGCAACGAAGTTGGGGGTTATTATCTCATTCTTTTCTTTTCAATAAATGCAATCATTTATTTACACACAAGTATGTTTTTATTCATTTTCTCTTCAGTTCACAAAAATGCTATTAGACAGGGACAGAAATGCCTTGGATGTCTGTGTGAATCTTCCCAGTTTTGAAGTAGAGGCAGGCATACAAACACACAATGGTAATGAAAGAGGAAGGGACTGTGACATTTGATATATACAGTCCAAAGGGTCAAAAAAAATGTCACAATTTGGAGTAAGTTGAATGAGCAAAGACGCTAAAGTCTTGGTGTGGGCGGCCTTGATCAGAGGCTTCTGACATGGGCAGGGAAGATGAACAGAGAATAAAGCTCACCAGACAGCCTGCAATGTGTCAGCGAACCTTTGAGGCAGAAAGAGTAATGAATGGGTTCAAGAGTTAAAGTTAGAAAATGAACCCATGAAAGAACATGCAGGAACACACACGGATATCAAAATGGGTAGTTCAGATTTATTTATGAAAATATCAAAGGAACTGCACAGCAAAAATAAAATCAAATTATGTTTACCTCATTTGAATCTTGATATGTCCTCAGTCCCTTAGGAGAAGCAAACGCCAAGCCTGGAAGTCATTCCAGCATCACTGGGGCCATCAAGTCAGAATTCAGGATTTAATGAAATACTCTGACTTAAAATAAAAGCATCTCAATTAAGGCAAGTATTAAAGAGAGTAATTGATGGGCCGTTTGCCAGCTTTGAATTAATTCAATTGAGCCTTGATTTAAGAAAGTGCTGCTTCAAGCAGAAAGAGCCCATCACTTTAGAAGCAAAGCATTTAAAACCTGAGCTTTTTCCAACTTTCAACCTTTCGGTTGGTTAAGAATGCTGTGGTTCCTAACAATATAATCGCTTGGCTCTAAATCAGACAAATTGGTCTCACTTATACCAGCTTTCTATGCTCTCAACCTTAGCATTATTGTAAGGATCGCAGAACAAGTAATCCTATATAATAAAGAAAATAAACAAAAGTTTATGATTGGCTGACGTACACTTTCTATTTCCTGAGTAACTGCTTCGGGCTTCGTGCATGTGTTTGCTTGTGTGAGCATGCATGAGAATGTCTGCATTTAGTGAAACGGGCAGGTACAAGACATATCGATCTGGTTCTCCCTGCCCGTTGAACGTGTAGCCAATCTGTCACATCTCCAGACAGTGAATCATGTTGACAGGATGCATTACATTTTATAAATGTCTTCCCTTATCTAGAAGTCTCATAACTGAAGCACACTTGCCTTTTAACCGCCAGCTCTGCTGGACTCCAGGGCCGTTGAAATATCTGTCTTGACTTGAAAATTTGGTTTCTCTGTTAGGACAGGAGGAGATTTTCAATATGAAGCTCTTCTCAAGCTCTCTTTGCTTTGGACTCCTGGCTTTGTCGTCCGTGATGAACATTTTGAAATCTGTGTGTGGACAGCCACATCTGAGCTCAGGTATGTGTGCATGAGTGGAAAGCCTTACAGGTGGGCGAATAATCTGTTCTCTGTTTATTTCACTTATGTTTCTGCCATTAGTGAAATAACTTCATAAGGCAGTAATGTAAGTTAATCACTGGATTCTCCTTAAGTAGTTGCTGCTCTGAATTGAGTGTACTCTCTGAAGATTTTTTTTCTGGTAAATTGCACCAAATTTGTTCAATATATTACTTCATTAACTCCAGCTGTATTTTTTCTAGTCATGAGTACTTATTTTACATTTGTCCTAGATGGTTAGAGATTTGAAATGTGGAACAGGCTATAGAGTCAGTCGTATTCCAGGAGTACTTTGGAGAAAGGAAAAGACTTTTGTCATAGGACATTATTAGCTTGATGCCCATGAAAGGAACATTTCAGAGAAAGTAGAAAATAACAATGTGCTTGCAAAGCTGTGGGCGGCACACCTGATGGGTTGGCAGTGGGTGTGGACCCTGGGGTTAGATATTTATATTTCACATATGCATGAAGCCTAAGTTACAATGGCCAGCAATACATACAACTGTTACAAAGTGTACCACAGATCACAACCGTTTTGCTCATATGTGTATGCTCTGCCAGAGCCATCAGAAGTCTCCTTATTTTGCAGAGAGAGCAATAGACCTCTTTCTGTAATACAGCCATCTAAATTGGTGTCACTTTTTAATCTGTGTCACTACGTTTGTAGGAGAAACACTAAGGAAATGATTTAACTATGGTGTACATAAAAATATACTAGTTTTAGAATGGGGGAAAGTGGTTAGAAAGGGGAAGCAGTGATCACTGGAGTGTTCATATAATTGGGTTTATTGTCTTGCTTTTTTTTTGACTATTTGTGTTTATTGTATTGCATGTTCCTTGACTATTTGCATCTATTGTATTGCTAGACCCTCAGCCTAGAACTGACCTTAATGCATGTGTGTAATCAAAATAGTATAAAAGCATAAAGGAGGAGGGTGGATGGGATGGGGGTTCTAGGGAGGAGAAAGGGGGAAAGGGAAAGACATCTGTATTATAAATAAATAAAATATCCAATAAAAAATATACTAGTTTTAGAATGGGGAAAAGTGGTTTTCTGTGCTTACTATATTATAACAAATTCAACTTCGAAAATGCTGCTGTATGTATATAAGCATCCTTTTCTCTGGGACCTGATTAACTTGTATGGGGCATTTGTTTATTAGGCGACCAAGTTAATTTGTGATGGTTTTGTGGTTTTTCTTGTTTTAAAAATAGTGACTTAAAATACTGTTCTTAAGGCAATATTTCTTCCTGCTTGAAACTGTAGAGTTTTCTTTTCTGTTATCTAACTTATATCCTGGTCAGGAAGGAGCTGTAAGTCAGAGGGAATTTAATTAACGGCATAAGTCATGAAGGTAAGAAAAGGGATCAAGTTTCTCACATCTGGATCTAATTCACCTCTACTCAGCCTTGTTACGCTTAATGTGGTTTTAAAAGCCAATGAATTTAAAATTATGTTCTATCTATAGAAAGAAAATTTATACAACTTACTTACTAATGAACGTTTTCTTATTGACAGGTGAATATCATCAGAAAAACCAGCTCAAGGGTTGGACTTACACATTCTGTATTCTATTCATGCCACTCATATTTGGTTTTTCCCTCTGAGCCACTGCCTTTAGATGGCTCTATTGCAGATATGGTTCTGTTGCTCTCTCTGCAAAATAAGGAGAGTTCTGATGGTCCTGGCAGAGCATACACATATGAGCAAAGCTGTGGTTATCTGTGGTACAATTTGGAACAGTCATATGTATTATTGGTCATTGTAACTCAGGCTTCATGCATATATGAAATATAAACACACATGCTTGACTCTAAAGCATTGATAAGATTTAGAAATCACATGTATAACCTCAGGATTCCACAGGGTGACTTGACCTGCATGTATCTGTAGCTGCATAGTGGAAACATATTGTGACTGTCTTTGATCTCGGGATCATTGAACATACAAGAAGATGCTTAATTTTTAAAGTACAGTTTATTTCCTGTTCTAAATATTTCACGAGTAAAATGAGCTTTTCCCTATGTATATTAAACATCCATAACAAATATTCATAACAACTAGCACAATGCTGCTAGCTTTTATTTATTGGGTGATACAGAAGCATGCCTCAGCAAAAAAGTGTAAAACTGGGAAACAGTTTCCCAGAAAAACGACAAAGGACAACATAGCCAAGATAACTGTGGAGGGATTATTTTGTTACATTATTATCTGGGGCAAATCTAGGTTTATTTTGGAAGAATTTCTTGTTTCTGTTTAGTAGAAGTTTTACAAGATCTTATGAGCAAGAAGAGAGCTGTTTTTGGTGCTAAGCCCCTTGAGTAGCTACGAATGGGTGTTTTCTGTGCCTTTTTCTACCACTCATTCTCTCTGGGCCAGTGCAGTTTAATCTTCCTTTGCAACAAAGACTCATCTACATCCAGACGTTTAGTCTAACCCTATCCAAGGAGAAAGAGACAGTGTATTTTTCAAGTGTGTGTGTGTGTGTGTGTGTGTGTGTGTGTGTGTGTGTGTAATCCAGAAGTCAGCACCACATTCCCCAGAGTTGGAATTACAGGAGGTCATAAGCAGCCTTATTTGTGTGCTGAACTGAACATGGATCTTTTTCATGAGCAGCCAGCACTCAGCCATTGATCTCTCTCTTCAGCCCCCAAGATCTTTAAGCTGCATGTGAGAGACTGTGTCTCAGGAATCAGTTTGCCCCCTAAATACCATATTCAAAGTGGAAGCAAGTTCATGAAGGTTTTGTTTTTTAATTTACAACATTTCTCTCTCTCTCTCTCTCTCTCTCTCTCTCTCTCTCTCTCTCTCTCTCTCTCTCTCTGTATGTTTGTGTTTGAGGAAATAATTTACTCAGGCTCTGAGCCGTTCTCTTGGCTGAAACTATAGCACTAAACTACACTTTCTGCAATTGAGGTCAGCCCAGCTAACACATCACTGCAGATAACCCTCATCAATCTACTTCCTGCCCACGCAGTAACCATGACAGTCAGGAAATGGGGGTGGGGGGAAATGGACTGGAGAAGATATAAGAGGCAACTTTTGATTTTTTAGGCCCTCATTTAAGTTCATTATATGATATTAATTACTATTCTAATGGCATTATTGTTAATCAAAACGTTTTTGAATAGACATAGTTCACAGATTGAGTGAAATCTCCTGTCTCAATTTATGCTTTAGAATATAAACATTTATAATACTGAAGCATGTGGTAAACTAAGTCCTGAAGGTCTGTGGGGTAAATCAAGGATGATGGGAAGAAGTAGACACATATGAAGACAACTTTCTAATTCTCCTTGAAGTCTTTAAAGTGAAGCCTATAGGACAGATTATCTCATATTTAAATGTAACGTACAATCACAAAATGGAATGCTATGTTTTTCTCTTAAAATCAACTTTTAGTTTTTACTTCATGTGTTCAAAGTAATTGCAGATGCTTAAAAATTAAACCCACAAAAAGAAAAGTAAAATTCCCCTGCAATCTCACCACCTTTCAGGTGTATCTCTCAGGGTGTTCATATGCATCCACTCGGTTTTAGAATGGCCTGTCTTTCAGATCACATGCTTCTCTGTTCCTCTGGTAAATGGAAACATTAAGAGTTGACGACAAATCTTAATGACCTAGAAGCACATTGAGTGACTCATCAAATATGTCCTTGTCACCATTTGATTATTACAGGACATGAGTTGTTTCCAGGTAAAGAATATACAACTCAGAAGAAACTACTGCTGGGTCTGCTGACCCGAAACCCTGGTTTACAGAAGTCCTCTCATGCTGGTGAGTTAGGAACAAGGCTCAGTAGTACAATGTGAAACCCAGTATTGTGAAATCCCCTGCACCATTCATTTTGTTCAGGACCCATTTGGCTATCCTAGGTCTTCCTTTGCGTTTCTATTTAAATGAGATTTTTTTCCCCAAGTCTGTGAAGAAAGGTTCTGTTATTTTGATTGGGATTACATTGAATCTGCGAATTACTTTTGGCATGATGGATACTTTTCACATTATTAAGTCCTTCATCCATGTACATGAGAGTGGTCTTTCAATCTTCAAGTGTCTTTCTCAGTTTCTTTCTTCAAAAATTTTAAGTTTTCATCACAGATGTCTTTCAACTCCTTCATTAGGTTTATTCCTATACATTCTTTTATTTTATGAGAGTATTTTGAATGAGGTTGGTTCTGTAAATTCATTGAAAGCTTATTTGTTATTGATCTGTAGAAAGGCTACTGAGTTTTGTAAATCAATATTGTATATTACCACATTTATGATACTGTTTATCATTTCTAAAAGATTTCTGGTAGAATTTTTGGGCCCCTGTATGCATAATATCATAGCATTTGCAAGTAAGGATAAATAGTTCTTTTCTATTTGAAAACAAACAAACAAACACAAAGCCCTCAAAGAGGTATTAATACTTTAAAAAAAGCAGGATTACATAACCATTATATAATTAAATGATAATTTTATTTGAGAAATAAGTAAAATTATAAAATGGAAAAAATTCCATACCCAATAAGAAATAACTTGGAGATTGACAACTAATATCTTTTAAAATTTTTCTTTCTTGCTTCAGATTTTATGAAGAATTTTTGTTCGGTCTTTATTTTTTATTGCTTCATGATACTGTCCCTATGTCAATAAAATGTTATTTATTAATAAAAATACCTTATGATAGAGCTATAGTGTACTTAAAATCTTTGTGCTTATTATGGAACATAGGTACTTTCTCTTGATATAGGTTATCAGCATTATGAACATTAGAAATACATTTTAGTGTTTAGCATTAGGAAATGGAGGGCAGCCTCAAATCATATGAAAAAGGTCTGAGAGCATTAACGAATATGCTGAAGTCAATTAAATGCTACCCTTGCTATGTTTTTCATTTGCCACTGTCTCTTACAGGTGTAGATCTGCCCAGCAAACTGGAAGAACTTAGACAGGTGAGAGTGGAAAATAATTCAATGCTCTAATGACCTACTATTAGATAAATCTTTGATATATTAGTTTTCATCAAGTATTAATATTACAGTGTGAAACTTCAATTTCTGCTTTAGAAAGAATAAATTGCCTCTACACACACACACACACACACACACACACACACACACACATACACTACAGCAAATGTAATACTAGTGACCCTTTTATGAGTTCCTGGGATATTGAAAGTTCTCTGAACTTGTCATCTGTAGAACTGGAGGTTATTAGCTTGTAAATAGTGGAAATTAATTTCTTGCTAGCAGAAGTTACTTGGTTTCAGAAAATGAAACATTTAAGGATATATCCACTTGGCTTCAAGCAGCTGGTTTGTAGATGGTCTGCCATTTTTACAGTGAGCCTCATCTTCTCCATCAGACTCAAGTTATCTACTCCTTAATATCTTAATATATCATAAAAGCATTTTAATGTCTGGATTATACAATTTTATTGGAGGGGACTGATCCTATGAGGGACATAATGTTAGGTCTAGCTACCTAGACTATACCGAAGATAACTTGATTTGTAAATAATGTGTGTCTGAATTACAGTTCTATTGCTTTGGTGAGATACTACGACTAAGGCAATTTATACAAGGAAACATTTAATAGGGGGCTTGGCTAAGAGGGTGATTGGTTAATTGGAGACTTGATTAAGAGGATCATTATGTCAGGGAGTATGTTAACACGCAGGCAGGCATTGCTCTGGGGTGGTAGCTGAGAGCTCATATCTGATTCACAAATAGCAGTCAGACAGAGAATAAGACTAGGCCTGGCATGAGTTTTGAAATCTCTAAGTCTACCCCCAGTGGCACACCTTCTCCAAAAATGCCACACCTACTAATCTTTCTTAAATGTTCCTCCAGCCACGGAACATTTGAATCTATGAGACTATGGGGCAATTCCTATTCAAATGACCCCAACCTGTTTCTTTTCAATCTTTGGTTGAGTCTCATACTTATTCCAGGCAACTTCTGAATTCCAGTCTTTTGGGTATTTTTCTTGTATTTATTTTTTCTTATAACTTTTCTTTTTTTCTTTTCTCCAATTTTTAAACCTACCTACCTTCCTTCCCTCCCTCCTTCATTCCTTCCTTTGTTCCTTCCTTCCTTCATTCCTTCCTTCCTTCCTCCCTCCCTCCCTCCCTCCCTCCCTCCCTCCCTCCCCCCCCCCCCTCTCTCTCTCTCTCTCTCTCTCTCTCTCTCTCTCTCTCTCCTTCTTTCTTTTTTCTCTTCTTCTTGTCTTCCTGTGTTTTAATTTATTATAGCTAAAGAAGCTGAGAGAATGGTTTATGGAAGCAAAGAATGCTGAGATGTCCAATGCTTTAGACAATCTATCCTCTTCCCACCCTAATAAACGAGGTAAGTTTTAATTTTTGTTGTAAAATATATTTTGAAAGGGCTCTTTTGGTAAATATCTCTATGAATAAAGGGGTAATGTCGACATTTTTTCAGTCCTCAGATTGAGATAAAGATCAAAGATTATGTTTTTAAGAAAAAGTGTTACAGTACAAATGTACCTGAGCCTCTAATGATGGCAACAGTGGTTAGCTAGCTCCCACTTCTGTTTTATATGAAAGAAGTCCTGAGTGATTAAAACTCTCATCTACCTTCCACATTTTGGCCTAAAGATTAAAATCAGAAGGATGGAAGTAGGAATAATCAAGTTTTTTTTTAAAAGTTAATATCTTACTTGACATAAATAGAAGCCCTAACACTACAATATGTGTTATGAACAAAGATTTGACTCAGACATGTACCTCAGGAAAATTATTCTTTGAGTCACTAGGTTTCCATAGGTCTTTCAATTTTTTTTTTGTTTGTTTCTTGACAACTTGGTGCTTAGTTTTGAAACAAGTAACAATTCTATGTGTTCTTCCAGTTCTTTAATCTAGTCAGGTGTATTTGACTTTTCTTATCACCATCTTGATTTGTCTATAACATCAATAAAAGTATATTGTTACAATACTCCTAAAGAGAAATGTAAGATAATATTAACAACCTAACTCATATTAGTCAATATATATCATGATATTTAAAATATAATGGTTAAGCATTTAGGCTCTGGAACTAGATGGCTTGATTTAAAATATTACCTTTGATAACTCTTATCTGTGTGATCTCAGGCTATAAATTTCTTATGAATTAGATTTTTTGTCCATATATATAATTAGATTTAATATATATTGAAAATAATTTTATGGTTTGTTAGAACTAAATTATTTAATCTAATTCAGAATGTGACATGACATATGATGACTATTTTGTGGACTCGACATTTCAAAAAATTGTTCCATAATTATTATTTTATTCCTTATTATTGTTATGAGTATTTTATATAGGAGAAAACTGTATTTTATACAGATTAGATTACATGTCTCAAATAAGGCAACTAGTAATGAAAGTAAAGGAAAAAGTGGTATGAGGTAAAGCAGAGAAAGGGTGGAAGGGAAGGAAACCTTAGCTTTATTCAAGATATTTACAATACTCCTTTCTACTTCACATTATAGAAAATAATGGAAGATTCTGAGAAAATCAGGGATTAATTATGAATGGAATTTATAAGAACCATTCTTGGTGTCATATGCTGCATATATCCCAAAAGAGGAATAAAGAGGGAATCAGAGAGAGAGAGAGAGAGAGAGAGAGAGAGAGAGAGAGAGAGACAGAGAGACAGAGAGACAGAGAGAGACAGAGAGAGAGATTAAGCAAGTACTTAATTTGATCCATGAAGTGAAAACCTCAGCTGACTCCATCGCTGGTCTATTGTGACTATTGCAGTGATAAACTTATAAGCATAAGTTTATAAGCATATCTATAGTATGCTGAGTTTGATATTTAATGTATACTCAGATATGATATAGTTGTATCATGTGATATATCTATTTGCATTTTTAAAATTACATGTACATGTTTGGGTCTTTCTGTGACTGTTCAGGGGACTGTAGGTACCCACAGTTTAAAGGGGATATCAAATCCCTAAGATCCAAACTTATAAGTGATGTTAGGCTACTCAGTGTAGGATCAGGTACTTTTAAAGAGCAGAGCTCTTAATTGTAAACAATCTCTACAGCCTTTTTACTTTTTGAAGAAACACCATAATTGTTTCCATAGGAAGTGGACTAATTTATACTCCTATCAGTCATGAAAGGAGTTCCTTCCCTTTTTGTTTATTTTTGTTTCCTTGACAATACCTATTCTGACTAGGATGAGACTTGGTAAGGGACTCACATCATTTCTCTGTAGTGATTTCCAATTTTCCTGTAAATCAAAACTTCCTCCAACACAAAATGATCATTTAAAATACTTGGAGAATGCATCACAGTTTGTCATGTTTGGCATCCAGACAGCTTCATCAATACGTTATGTGCGACACAGGGTCCATTGGCCTCATAGTAGGGTGGAAAAGGGCCAAAGACGGCAACAGGCATTTTCCTTTTAGAACATATTATTGAGTGGTCCTGATTCCAATGGAATGAGGTTGTGTGCAGCTGAGAACATCAAGGACATAAGTGACAGATTGAGAGTCCTATCTCTGCCACTGATATTTTGGCCTTATTATGATATGGAGAGCAAAGGTATGGTGGTAGCAATTTTAGCAGATAAATAAATTTGATATTAAGGAAATCAGTTCAAATGGAAAGTATAAATTTGGCATTTATCAACAAATTCACATCTGGCATTTTGATGAGACCATCTATAGAGTGATTCTTTCTACAGAGAGGATCTATCCAAGGGCTGAGTCACAGACCAGTTAAAGAGCAATTTGTGAATATGGGAAAGAATTAGTAACAAGGGTTGAGTAGAAGCAGATATCAAGGAAGGAAGCATGAAACAAATTCAAGGAAGCCACGAACAAAGACATTTCAAGAAACGTCACAACATCTGAACTTATGATAACATCAGTAAGGAAAGAACCGAGACCTGCTGTGTAAACTCAGGAATAAGCGTTATCAGTACTGGGCCAGCATTTTATTAAAAGGGGTATGATTAAACAATTGGAACTACAGACAGCAGACATGTCTTATGTGTATACGTGTTCATGTGTGTATATATGTATGAGTGCATGTAGATACAAGTGTCAATTTGTGTAGAAGCCAGAGGACAATCTCTGTTGTCATTTCCTCAGACATTGTCAACCCTATTTTTTTTTATTACAATTTATTTTTTCTCAAATCTTAGTTCATTCACACAGGGGTTATAAACACAGAAAGGCAGGATGTGGGGAAGGAAATGGCACTGGAGTGTGAGTGTTCAGGGGGAATACAGGTATCTTCAGAACTGGGTATCGGCTGGGTGAAGGTTCAGGGGACAAGCACTATGACTCTGCCTATGACTCGCTTGTCCTTTTCTAAGTTTGTATTGTCTGCCAAGGCTACCTATTTACAAGGTCTATGACTACTCAGGCTTGTAAATTTCCACAAACGCTGCCTGTTTACATTAGCTTATAGCCATCTGTTTCAATGTTTTTCCACTGAGATCCAAGACTTGGTGTTAGTATATATGTATGACAAGCCTATTGCTGATTTTAGGCCTATGGCTGATTTTAGGCCTTTAGTGTGTAAGCAGGGCTGCCCCTGACATCTCCTTCCTTCTCTAAGTATAGAAGGGCTGTGGCAATTCTAAACTTGCAAAGGCGGGGATAGAGGCCTGACCTCCAGTATTTGAAGGGGACCTTGTAATGGCTCCAGTCCCCCTGTCATTGTCCAGTGAGGCATGAGGGCCATACCTGTCCTGATGTCTTTTTCCTGGAGAGGGGATATTTTTGACATCAACCCCTATGCAGTCAGGCTTGTCTCTCAGGGAACCCAGATAGATATTTTTACCTTTTATTTATATTCCCTTGCAGTGCTTAGCCTCGCAGCCTAAGCAAGAATTCAGATCACCTGTCAGAGGGGGTTCTGGGTGGCCCCTCTCTGCTTGGTCTAGGGGCAGAAGTCCCCCCTTTTAGGTTTGGTGGAGATGGGTTTTGGAAACACTCTGTATAAAGTAACAACCTCATCTTGAGTCTTGTGGTCCTCCATAGCTAACTTATGATAATGTATCTGAGTAGGTTTTGTTACCAAATTATTTATCTGTTGTATCACAGAGTTAGTCTGCCTATTTGAGGGCCAGGGACCAGCAGATAAAAGCAAAAAGAACCCAAATAATGGTCCCAGGATGAGAGGAAATAGGGTTGACAACCTTGGAGAGGCTGAAAACCAATTCTTGTATCAGCCTTCATCTCTCTTTCTCTCTCTGATGTTTCTTAGGGCCTTCACTACCTATTTCATGCTCTCTTTAACCCTCCTTGTCTTGTCTATGTAAAGGCAACTTTCTTCTTTAAGGGCTGTACACAGTCAAGAGCTGTACACTGCCTTTTCTATTGTAATAGAGTAAATCAAGTCCCATAAGGATCTTTTCGATTTCAGGAGGTCTCTTCAGACAGTGAAAAGAGGGATTTCTTCAGATTAGTGATGTCAATCTCTAGCTGTTTGATGTTCTTGTCAGTGGCCCTTCAAAGGTCTGAGTAGTATAAGTTCAGAGGCCAGCATCTGAATTAGAACTTCTAACAGCAGACATCACGGGTGACTCATTTTTACCTGGGATGCTGCCTGAGTTAAAGCTCCTGGGAGTTCCTCTTTCTCTCAGTTTTCTGGGGTTGGGTAGGAAGCTGCCGCCTGTGACCTGCTCTATGCTCGGGCCCACGTCAACCTTATTTTTGATACAGTGTCTCTCACTGGGGTATTAGTTCACCAATTAGACATGTTAGCCATACATCGGGTTCTGCCTGCAAAGACAGCTCTTTTGTTGAACACTTTTCTGATGAAGCAGCTGTCATTAACTATAATGGTTAAAGCGTCAGAAAAGGTTTTATTGTTTTTTGGTTGTTGTTGTTTTTGTTTTGTTTTTTTTTTTTAAAGCAGAGATATAAACGCATGTGCCTATGTGGTAACAACTAAGAGGATTCTATAATGGTGGTTACACGAGGTAGCCAGCAAGGTTAGCTCATGAAACAATACACATTCCTCATGAAGTCGGGATTATTGGCACTTTTTAAGAAGTAATCACTATAAACAACCACAAATGAAGGTGAAATGCATCCCCACATCCAGCTGAAAGCAGTTAGACTTTTCATTTACTGAAATAATCTTCTTTACAAATGTAATATAGTCTGCAGATAGCTGCTATAAGCCTAAGTGCGCAGTAATGAATGTGTGAAATAGGCAGACATCCAGGGCAGCAGCAGAGTTGGCTGGAATTTAACTTCATAAAACTGAAAGATGATTTGTGTGCGTGGGAGGAACTGACTCTATTTGCAGTACCACGCATCGCTAGTCCCTTTCAACCAGGCCCAAAATATATCTCCAAACTATATTCCACTGCACACTTAACTGCTCATGTGATGGAAATCTTGCCTCCGTGTCAGCTTTTATTTTTGTGCCAGACAGAGATATCTAAAGATATCTGAAGGAACAAACTGCATGATGATGATGAATTTCCATAACAAACTATTAAAGGAAGACCGGACGTAAGGGCCACCTTCTCAGCTCAGATCTGAAAATAGCCTCCAGCCTTCACAGGAGTTGAATGCAATTTTTCAGAAGGAGGGTTATGGCTCCTCCTACTGAAGATTTAATATGACTCACTGATGCATCTGAAGACTGAGATGCTGCCAAATTTGCCTTTTATTTGTCTGAAGGAATGTAGTATGATCAGAATATTAAGGTTCATATGATGAAGAATAATTCACATAAATATCATTTGGTAGTTTGCAAGGTTAAGCATTGTTAAGCAGTCTCTTTCTTTCCTTCATAGATAGAGAATCAATTAGCTCCATTCTTTTACTTCCATGACCTCCTCTTTAGGATTTCAGGTGCACAACATGTGAAATGCCATTATGAGTCTCCTAGGTTGGCCCCTGTGGTCCTCACATTGAATTAAATAAATTATAATGCAGAAGTGGTGCCCAAAGGACCTGCATAATGAGACTATTCTCTAATTCACACTGCCCATCTGGTAGTCTCTGTCCTCAAGGTGCTTTGGGAATCTTATATGTGGTTAGCTAGTATAATGAATAATTTGAATTATTAACTTATGTAATTTTAAGTCCACATAAAGCTAGCAGCTCAATAATGAACATAGGTTTGTTTTTAAATGGTCTCTATCTCTTATTCAAGAACATAGAAAGTTTTATTCAAATGGAAGATCTAAAAAATTCTAATAATTCGCTTTGTTTTCTTTTTTAGCTTGTTTTTGGAAATACTGTGTCTGAGACTTTTCTGAATATACAGAAGATAAGAACACTAGACAATTACATGTATATACATACATATATTATGTATATATACATATTGTATATACATAATATTCATATTAAAGTTTACTTTTGTTTCAAGTGTTAAGAAACTGGCCTTGTTCTGCACATCATTTTTCTCACTTTGTGAATCTGCTGCTCCCTGGGTTATGGCTTTCCTAATGCTCATTTGGTGAACAATGACACTGGCTGCTCTCTGGAATGAACTGTCCATCAAAATGGCTTTAGTGCTGAGACTGGGTGGTTTGACCTGTTGTACACTTCTGTGAAGTCCATTGTCCTCTCTCAATGTTTTGTTGTTGGCTGTCAATAAAAAATGTTTTAAAAAGCATCTTAGAAAGTTAAAACAAATCACATTGTTTCAACTCATGTGCAAAATATGTATTACGTTTCTCATTTTTATGATTGTACTTTTTTGTATTAATTAGAACAGTTGCCATTGAGAATACTAAGAATGAGCATATTACTGAGGAACTGAGATACATAGTTTACCTAAATATGGAAGAAAGAAATACTATATTTCTAAGAAATAGTTTGTGAAAAAATACCTATAAAATGATGTGATTTGGGGGTTCCTATTTGTCACAATTGCCTCCTATAGATGGTCAGGAACTCTGACACACTTCATGCCCTCAACAGATGAGACTCTCTGTGCTCAGAAACAAAACTCCCCGGAAAAACATTGGCTTTTCCTTGTAGGTTTTAATTTCTCATTGTTGTATTGTTTGTTTTGTTTTCTTATAGTTGCACAAGCCAGTTAAATTAATTCAAACCTCAGAGTTTAACCTTAATTTTGTCTAACATCCATTCTAGCACAGAAGTGTTCTCATAGTAACTTTATAATTAAGAAATATTAATGACAGCATTATTATGTGGTCCATATGCATTCTTTTTCCTTATAATACTGAGACGTTCATTTTAATTTTTGTACTAATAAATGTGTGATATTTAATGATAAAGGTTAAGATGATAGTATTTATTAAACTAAAAACATACAAAGCACTGCAATAAGGGTGATGGTACAGGAATAACAAAGAGAACTTGTAGCCTAGTGGGGGAAGCATAGTAAACAGGAACCCAAGCAAGTCCTTTGTACATCATGCCAAAGAAAACTGTAATGATTACAGGTAGGACAGAGGAACTCAGCTGAATGTATAGTGATATGTACAAGGTCCTTTCAAAATGTAATTTTTTTTTGGTCTGACCTTCAATGCTGTGAGGGTAATGCAAAGTGCTTGAAGAAATGGAGCAATCCCTCAAGGTGCGGGAGAAAGGGGAAACAGCAGGTGTAAAAACCGATGTAGGAAGAACCTGGCATCCCTGAAAAAGAAAAGGAGTCAATATGCTTGTGTACAGTGAGCAAAGCTGAAAAAGTGCAATAGCTCAAGCAGATGGGTTATAGCCCACTAGCCAAAGATAATGGGCTGATATTTTGTTCTAAACAAACAAACAAACAAACATATAGACATTTCTGATGGGTGTAAAGCAGAGCAAGATCTGTGCATGCTTCAAGTCTTTGAGACAGGACTTCCCACTCTGGAACCACAAAGGATGTTGCTTTCCTTCATCCATCACCAAAGACAAGTCATGGTGCACAAACGATGTTCATTTCACCACAACACTCTTATTCTACCCATATCTGCCCTAGAATGAGCTTGGCTCCATTCCAGAGAACAATGTTCAGTGTTTATTAACCAAATATTTAGGTAGAAGATTTACCTATAAATGGTGCTGTCATAAAACTCTCAAAAATCATGGAAATGTAGATAACAGATGGGATTAAAATTAGATTCCACATTAAATAAAAGAAAGAGTGAGAAGAAAACAAAGTAACCAGCTAAGCACCATGCCTGTGGTGCTGTGTATGCCCTTCCTTGGGACTCAAACAAATACACATGAGGAAAACATGAGAGGACAAGAACAGAAGATGCTCCTGTGTATGAGAGCATATGTGAACACCAACTTAATGATATTTAAATGGATTAAAACTCCTGATTTCCTTATCTCAGATTTATTTACTTTGGGAGAGTTGGATATTTCAGTACATTGAATTTTAGGCATCAGACAAAATGCCATTGCTGTTTTTCAGAAGATTAGATTCAGTTTTGAATAATTTAAGAAATTTAATTTCCCAAATGATACAGGGATAAAAGGTATAGTTTGATAAATTTAGTGTAGTATAAACCTTAAGATATTGTAGCCTAGATTACACCCTCAGTTGCAATAATGCTCATGTAATTAACAGTAGGACTCAAAAATTCATATTTACATATTCATTTGTTCTATGTATCTCTATCTAGAAATAAAGAGAAAAGGGGCAATGCATATTTTTTAAAATCATAACCTTGAAAATTAGTGGCTTCCCATGGACACAGAGTTTAATTTACTGCTATACATTGAATTAATAATAACAAGACAGGACAACTTGTTAACATAACTAATGTTTTATTTTATAGATAAGAAGACCCTCATTTCAACCATAATATTGCTAGTTTTCTTATTATTTCCAATATGGTGGCAAAAAAACCCAACATATATGAATTGAAGTAGTTTTAAATTGGAAAAATGTTTTTCTCTTTTGCTTCATTGAATTCATATCATGAGACAAATGTACTCACTACACAGAATGAAGCCCAGATCAACGTATAGTGATCTCTTTAACCTGTGATATTATTGCATAATTTTCTTCTTTTTCCTTTCTTCTTTTTTACTTCCTTCCCTTCTTCCTTTCTTTCCTTGTTTCTTTTCTCTTTTTAAAAGAGAAGAGTCATGTTGCCAAGCCTCAAATCTTTTACATAGCTGAGGGTGGTCTTGAGTTCCTGATCATCCTGCTCTTACCTCCAAGGGTTGGGATGACAGGCATGAGCCATGATACCAATTATACAGAAAATTTGTCATTTTCATAGTAGGCAGGCACTGTGCTGTTGATCTGTATTTCTTGTTCTCATAGCTTATATTTGAATTAAAATAATGTAGAAAATCAGTGTGTTAAGCTAAATTTCAAACTTTTTATATGAGAGATTGTAGACTGACGTTGATTTTAATACCTTTTTAAAATAAAAAGCACAGAGCACTACTTGGTTGGATTTTTAGCTTATAGACATTAGATGAAGACAAAAAAGAAAAATAGAAAGAAAAAAAGAAAAGTTGCTACCATAGGAAACAATTCCACAATTCACCCCTAGGCTGGTAAAAGTAAGCAAGAGAGGCAGTAACTTCTTTTCAAATAAGTTTTAAATTCAGAGTTTGGCAGAATATTTCATATGGGCCAATTATATTAGCTTTCCATAAACTAACTATTAGTTATTAGTTACTAAAGAACACAATTGCTCAGATTTCTCAAAATTTATTTGCCTTTGCTACAGCCTTCTGCCACAGTTTAAGCAAACATAAATGTAATGTCTTTTTCTCTAAGCTTGGAGTTGAAGTTTTCAACAATTTGACAAACTTCAGAAAAACTAAAAAAAACCCTATATAAATCATTATGTGCTCATTTCTTATTTTTTTTACATCATCAGATCTTTAAACATTATGTTACTAGAAAGTAGATTGCATAAATGAAATGTGAAAATGATAATGGCAAGAAAATGTGCTATATTTGACTGCTGTTTTAAAAAGTAGGTTCAGGGGCCACATTACCATTTATGAGTCACTGAAACAAAATTTTCAAAGATATCTATGCACTGAAATGACCTGCACAACTCAACTGAAACCATAGCAACACTATGACATGACGAGTTGAGGAGGATCAAGCTTTGGGAAGATTTGCAGAAGGTCAGTTTCTTGAGAAAAGGGCTAGTGAAGAACTTCACTGAAGTGTTTTCTATAGTTCTGTGGCATTTCACACAAATATGTCGCATCTGTAAAAAGTGAAAATTGAAGTTGTTAGAAGTGTTCTTCCTCTCTGTAGATCAGAGGAATACCCACAACATGATGAGAGATGCAGTCCTTTCATCACATGGTACTTCACTTCATGACAGCTTTTAATTTACAGCACATTTTATATCATAATGTAAATTAATAATCTCAAGTACCAGTGAGTTTAAAGAGCATTGGTGATGTATAGAGTTTAAGAGCCTAGGCTCAAGTTTTAGTGAAAATTCTATTTGTCGGTTCTTCCAATATCAACTGTATCCAATTTCTTTTACTTTACATCTCAGTCCAAAGGATGTTGTCATGCAAAAGCAAAAGGACGACAAGGAAAGATTGACTAAAACTTGGTTAATTTTTAGATACATATTGATAACTGTACTTTGCTCCTGAAAACAAGAATTTGTAAGATTCCTGCTGTATTTCAGAGTTCTATTAATTTATCTGAATAAATGGTGGTAACATCATGCTAAGGTAAAACTGTCAACTTAAAACAATGATATATTCTTCACATAATTGAAGAAAGTTATAATTCAGGTGCTAGCAAGTGACTGCAGTGTCAAGGGCTCTATTTCTAATGTCATTAAGTAGGTAATCCTGACTTCAATCCTGAAGTTTCTAATCCCACCTAGAAAAGCTTTGAGTATTATAGACTGAATATTTATTGAATATGAGTTACTTAAGTCAACGCTTCTAGAACCTTAAAACTTTAGTATGTTGTAGCGCTTGTAGGAATATATGAATACCAAACATATGAATACCAGATTATACTCCTTTCCAAAATATAACAGAGAAGAAATTGGTATTTCCCCTGGAAATTTGTTTATTCCTAGCAGCAGTATCTGGCCTTGACCTTTTCTTTGACTAGAACACAGTTTCACTTTTAGTCTGGAAATTCAGAGTGAAACCCAGAAGGTCAAAACCCATAGTCAAGACTCCTGTAAGGGAAAACACCTCAGCTCTACCGAAGTGAGACAGAGACGATTAGAGCATACTTTCTCTGTGGCTTGCCACCATGACAAGTTAGGGCTGGAGGTATAGCTAAGTGGCATTTCACTTGCTTGAATGAAAAAGACATTGGGCATGATCCCATTTACCAGCTGAATAACAAAAAACATATATATATATATATATATATATATATATATATATATATATATATGTATGTATGTATGTATGTATGTATGTATGTATGTATGTATGTGGCTCACAACCAACATAGCCAGGAACCAAGGAAACTTGATGACCACCCAGAGAACATTGACCCAGAGGGAAGAGCACCTGAAGATTCCATCTTGATGTGAAAAAGATCTACAAAATATCAATCATACCAATATTCAGGAACAAGTCAAAATTTTAAATTATTTGGGTTAAGCCAAGACTTTATGTCCTCAAACCTGTAATTAGTTAATTGTCTGAAGATAATTCAACAATGCTCAAATTCTTATCTTGTAAATGCCATGCTGTGCAAATTACACCCACCATTTAATTCAAAGAGCTAATGGTGACTGTAAGAAAAACGTATTAGAAACGAGAGACATTTAGATGAAAATTGTATATTATTTTATAGGTTTTGTTAACCATTGAAATGTAAAATGTTCACAAGGGGAAATCAATATCTGAGAAATATTGATGGCAATGCTGGGAAATTACAAAAACATAAGGACTGAGCAGGTGGCCCCATGGTGATTGATGGAAAAGAGAGAAACATGTGATGTTAAAGTTTTCTTCTAAGCCTTCTCTTCTGATATCATTGTCTTTAGGTTTGACTAGTAAGGACCATACTTCCGAAGATACTGGGTTTTGTTAAGTGTACACTAATGTACACTTGAACATCAGTACCACGAGTCTGGATATAATAGCAGCTGAGCTATATTCTTTCTGTCTAGAGGTCTAGTGTGTCAATATTCATATGAAAATGAGTTTCCTATGTTGACTATCATGTACAGTTTGAGGCAATTCAGAACTACGAAAGTATGTGATAATGAAGAGTGGCAAAAGAAATCAGTGAGATTTCTATCGGTCTTAGGGTCATGGAATGTATCAGGAAATTGGAAGATGTGCTCTTGATTCCAGGAAGCACTTCACTTTTAATAGGTATTAGCTAATTCCTGTTCAAATATAAGTGCAGCAGTTGTTAGCAGGCTCAATGAGTGCCCACATTTGGTCTATTTCTAGATATGAGGGAAGCAACTCCATGCAGGTTTTGAAGGTGGTGCTATTCAAGAGGCAGTGTTCCTCTTGGTAGTCAGTTCATACTTCTATTTTTATGGGTACTTGGTACCTCATGATTGTAGAACATCAACATCAACAGACTCATAGGCATCTGCACTTCTCTTAGTGAAGTCATTATCATAAAACACTGATCCTCATAATAACCTTGGAGCATTTGAGGGGAAAGAAAAATATTATAATTTAAATTATGAAAGGATTAGGTCAATGTCATGAAAAATGTAGAAAGAACAATTCCCAAGTCTTCATATGTAGATGGTTAGAGAGGTAGCAGGTTGCTGGAATGATTTGGAGGAAAGGATGGAACTGTCATGTGCTTTACTGGAAGAAAGCATAGTGTTTAGATTTCAAAGGCAACAAACAATTTACTGTTTTTATGATATATTTTAATGAAATAAAAAGTACTTTATTGTTCTCTTCTAGTTTCCTCCTATTGCTCCTTGATCAAAAGATATTTAGGGAGGACCTTGTCTTATATTTCCAGGTCATAGACCATCACTGAGTGAAGGCAGGATAGGGACTCAAGGTAGGAAGTGGGAGGTTGAAACTGAGACATGCTGTTTGCTGGCCAACTGTCTGGCTTGCTCCATTGCTCATACTTAGCTAATTTTATCCCACAATCCAAGCCCTGAGGGCTGTTACTGCTCTCAGTAGACTTGGACCTCATAGATCATTTAACAGGCAGAACAGTCACCCACACACATGCCTACAGGTCAATCTGATTCAGGCAATTTCTGTCAGGTTTCCTCTCAAAATAGTTCTATGTTATGTCAAGTTAACAATTAAAGTTGACTAGGACATGTGTTAATTAGAATATTAACCTTTACTTGTAATGTTAACAGATAATTGCACAGGATTATGTGAAAAATAGCTAAATTTATTTTATAAAGCATTTGTAATGAGTGACTTTTCTGTTTGAAAGATAAAATCTAGGTGTTCCTCAAGTGTGTCCAAGCTACAGCCTTTGACTTGCATACGCCTTGGGGTAGCTATAAATGCAACCCAATATAAACTGTAAACTTGCTTCAACTATTATAAGATTTGTGTATATGTGTGTGTGTCTCTCTGTGTGTAAATTTTTAAAACTTGATGGTATGTTGAGTGTGAACTTGGCAAATAGGTAAAAATGTCGTCTTGCAATCTGGAAAGTTTGGGCACTCTTAGTAGAATCTGTGTTTCCTTTCTAAATGTCCCCTAAATTATTTAACATGAATATATTAATTGATGAAAGAAATATTTCTCAATATGCATATATAGGCTAAAAAATATCCCAAGGGGACATTTGCAAGTAAAGATGAGTTGAGTCTATTTATCTAGTGTGAAATGTTTCCTGGCTCTTGTTGGGACTGTACTCACGAAGATAATCCATCAGCCTCTGGAACTGGAGAGCCGGTTTCTACCAATCCGATCCATGGGAATGCCAAACCGCTTTTTTGAATGATCAACTGCTTTCCTGTGACAAAACATTAAAGAACAATTTAAACCCATGTCCAAGTTATCAGCCATTGCTCTTGTTTTTGCTGTAATGCAGAACTTGGACTCTCTTCTGAAGTAGGAACAAAACATGATAGATATTATTTACCTGATGCCATTTTCTTCTCTGTCCAGGTGTCAAGAAAATTAAAATTGGAGAGGCTGATTCAAATCAGTTAGCTCCCATAAAAACCCAGGTCTTATCAGCATGTTAAACTGTCAATGATCTAGTTGATAAATCCTGCTTTCTATGTAGGCTTCATTCTCTTATTGCTCTTATGCCTCTAAATGGGTCAGATCAAGATCTATTTATATTTCAACAAAAATAACAGTTGGAGAAAGGAAAATGTATAGATGTTAAAACTTAAGTGGTGGAAGCCTGACTCTCATGCCTTCTCATAGAGATCAAGGACTAATGCTTTCTATGTCATCATCTATGTCTGCTTTGATACTTTCTGTATCAAGTATTGGTTGAAGAAATGAACTGTAATGATACAGTGACGTTAATCTAAGTTAGTTTTCTGTTGCTGTGATAAAACACCATGTCGAAGGCAACTCATTGAAGGAAGACTTTATTTGGGAGTAGGGTTCCAGAGGGGTAAGAGTTTATTTCCACAGAGCAGGGAAGTGTGGCACTGAGCAGGCATGTCAACTGGAGCAGCAAGCTGAGAGTCTACAAGCTAAACTTCAAGCAACAAGCAGTGAGAATGTGCTAGAAGTGGTGAGAGGTTTGAATCTCAAAGCCCATCCCCAGCAAAGCTATACTTCCTAAACCTACCCAAACAGTATCAACCACTGGGTGCCAAAACACAACCATTTGAGCCCATGGGACACACTATCCTTCAAGCTATTACTACTTCTGTGAAGTGAAATATATTCCTTTATATGACAACTCAGTGGTTTGAGGTTATGTAAACATTTGTAAACAATTGTTTGTCACAATGTCTTCAATGTCTTCTGTCTTAGTTAGGGTTTTATTCCTGTTAAGGGACACCATGACCACAGCAACTCTTCTAAAGGGAAGAATTTAATTGGGGCTGACTTACTGTTTCAGAGGTTTTAGTCCATTATCATCATGGCAGAAACCATGGCAGCATGCACTCAGACATGGTGCGGGAGAAGAAGCTGAGAGATTTACAACTTGATCCATGGGCAGGAGAAGGAGACTGTATGCTACAACTAAGTCTGGCTTGAGCATAAAGAGATCTCAAAGCCCACCCCCGCAGGAACACACTTCTTCCAACAAGGCCACACCCACTTCAGCAAGGCCACATCTCCTAATATTGCCATTTGCAACAGGCCAAGCATTCAAACACACGAATCTATGGGGGCATTCTTAGTCAAACTTTCCACAGCTGTTATTACATTACTTATATATTTACTGCATCTGTCTACATTCCTACTTCCTTCTAATTTTTAGAACATATATCCTATTAAGAGATGTCTTTTGTTTGAGTGTCTTGATTTTCTGATTACCAATTGGGCATATATATTTCAACTAATTAAATGATGTGAAACACATAGTTTGTAGAATTAGCTTAAAATCAATACCCAAGAGTTATAAGACATTAATATACTAATCATGTTTTAAAAGTTTGGTGTAATTTTAAACAATGTATGCTGGAATAAAAAGTTTTCCTCTATCTTTAACTTGTTTTTTATTTCACTATTCTGTGGGGTGGCTGTTGATACTGGGTCTCCTAAAAGTAGCTCTGGCTGTCCTGGAATTCATTATGTAGAGCAGGCTGACTTTGAGCTCACAGAGGCCATCTGTCAGCCTTTGCCGTATGAGAGATGGAATTAAAGGTGTGTACCACCATTAAGCCTGGCTATGTTCTGTATTTTAAATTAACTAATCTTACCAAGACTAACATAAATTGACTCTTAATTCAACATTTTTTTTGTAGTAATCAGAATAACGGATTCCCACCAGTGTCCACTTTACAATTCTCAGAATCATAATATGTACTTTTATATTGTCAAAATGGGTTTTCTGATAAGATTAAGGATTGGAAATTTATACTGGGTTAACTGAATGAACCCAATACCTTTACACAGTAGTTCTGAAAACTAGCTAATAGCTGTAGCTGAGAGCACCAGACATCAGACAATAAGAGCAGTCTGAGATGGACCACAATTACCAAGGACAACTTGATTACGGAGGAGTCAGGACTGAAGAAATGCCATGGCCCCCTTGAGATTTTAGCAAAGAAAATGGGACACCAGTCCTTCAAGCATGAAGAATTAAATTCTTCCAACAATTTAAAAGATAAGAAAATGCTTCCCCAGAGGCAGAAAAGATCACAGTCAGCTGATACCCTCACATCATCTGTGTCTATGTGGAAGACAAGGCAAGAGAGTGCAGGGACAGACAAAGGGGACTTTGTATAGCACCCATCGTCCAGAAATCAGCCATGCCTCCACCTAACAGAAGACAACCCTGTGAAAACTGTCCTGAGTTGATGTACAGTGCATGATGAACAAAATTATGAGATAGTTGACTGTAATTTATTATGGTATCACCAAGAATAGATACATTTCTGTGTATGATTTAGGGTTTATGTTTACATGCTATCAGGCTAATTTATTCATGGTATTAAATTGATGTTATCCCTCCTTCTTTAAATTGATTCCTTCACTAACTATCCATCATTAAATCTCCATGATGTGTGTAGGCAGAATACAATATTGGACAGAAGAGGATGCTCAGAGTGACAAAAAAGGAAGTAAAGCATCAAATCCTCCTAGGTTTAAAAAGGGGAAGAAAATGGTAGCTAAGATTTAAATGCCATGTTTACTGTTCCCAAAGCCACTTTAGGTTCATATGCTGTGAAAAAAATGCATATTAGGTTTTTCAAAAAGAGAATAAGCATATTATTCTTATAGAGTATATAAATTACAATGGAATATTTATTGGTTATTATACTTGTTTTCTAAAACTAAGGAAAAATAACTGTAAACAACAGTTTTCTTACTTTGCTGCTGTTGATGATTTGTTCCTTAAGCAAATAAGCAGAAGCTGCCCTTGTGGAGAAAACAAAATTATTAACTTCCCTTTGTCCAAAACACACCTTACTTGTTAGGTACTATGTGGTTATATTTTGGTTCCATCTCTCAATGTGATCAGTTGATATTGACAACAGAGCAGTGGTCACACACACACACAGACACACAGACACACAGACACACACACACAGAGAGAGAGAGAGAGAGAAAGAGAGAGAGAGAGAGAGAGTTGCACACATCTTTAGCTGGTGTTCTTTCTAGTCCAGTTGAATTATTTCCAGACTGTTTGAGCTACTTCAGAAGAACAGACTCAGTGGGCAGAGACAGGCAGCACGTAGCTTTGTTCTAGCATCTTAGTCACTTTGATTCATCTTATCAAATGTAGAATCCACTACAAAAGCTTACAGATATTTAGAAGTAATTAATTGAAGGCTTGCACATATAAATCTACTCAGCAGACTAACAAATCAGCACACATAAAAAAATTATATTTAAAAAGTCCATGAAAATCAAAATGGCTCAGGAAATCAAGGAGTTTCTCTTTAATTTTTAATAGTTCAGAAACAAACTGGCAAGCTAGTAGTTTTATTAACATTTTTGGTGATATCACATATTTACCTAACTCTAACAGATGCTCTGACAGTAGTACACAGTGTGGACAGAAGGAAAAGAGGACAGAATAAGATCACATAGGAGAGCTGTACTTCTGTCTAGTCCCTCTTGTGACAAAATGATAGTGGCATGGCTTAGATTAGATGCAGGTGAAAGAATCCTCCATTTTCATAGAAAAATATCCTGTTAGAAGTTTAAAGAGGCCAGGCAGTGGTGGCGCACGCCTTTAATCCCAGCACTTGGGAGGCAGAGGCAGGCGGATTTCTGAGTTCGAGGCCAGCCTGGTCTACAGAGTGAGTTCCAGGACAGCCAGGGCTATACAGAGAAACCCTGTCTCGAAAAACCAAAAAAAAAAAAAAAAAAAAAAAGAAGTTTAAAGAGATGGCTTATCTGCCACACTAATAAAAGCATGTATTTGGATTCTTTAGTTTCAACATGCATTTTATATTTTCAATAAAATATACTTTTCATGACAAATAGGATTTTCTTTGATGTTTATATCTATCCTTCTCTCTAAAGCTGGCTTACCATTGTAAAAAGGGCAGTAGAAAAAAATATAAGCATTTTATTAATTTTTGCCCCACATTAGACAGTGGGTACATCAATTATTACTGCCTGATTAAAGAAAATGGAAAACATCATCCAAACTTGCAGTACCAGCAAACAATACAGAATTTTACTTATAGACATCCCACTGTCCCCTCCCACATAACATGCTTCTAGTGGCCAAGTTCCAGGGGTCTTTTGTGGACTCAAGCTTAGTCCAGTCATGTTCTTGCCTCTCCTTTTCTCATGTGTATTGTTCAAAATGATACTTCAGGCCGTTTTAGAATTTTGCGTGCTGCAGACCCAAGGTACAAGCTAATACTGACTATGATTGATAGAGTTACCAGTGTGAATAATACTGTTTCTAAAAATAACTGCATTACTGATTATGCCCCTAGAACATACGGTGCATTAGAAGTTTGTTAAATGAGGAAGTCCTTTGTTCTCACTATAAAATCAGATATCATGTGAGACAATGGATAGGTCAATTAGCTTGACTGGGGCAATAATTTCACAATGTATGCATATGTCGAAAATCATTTTTATTTGTTTTCATATTCAACCCCCCTCTATGTGTGTGTGTTGTGCAGTGTTGTTGAGAGAACAATTCGTGGGGGATGGTCAGTTCTCTTAACCACTTGGGTCTTAGGAGTCCAACCAAAGATGTTAGGTAAGCACTTGTACTCCCTGGGCATTGTTATCAGACCAAGTCTGTTTCTCTGAGGAAACTTTATTTATTGTCAATCATACCTCACTGAATCTGAAAAAAAAGGCATCATATATAAATTCTCTATTTCAGCAAAGCTATGTATTTTG